TACAAAATGCTCCTACAGCCTCTACTTCACAAAATGTGTCATGTATATTGTCTGACGTAACGGCTACATTCCAAAGAATAATGCTTTGTTGTGTATTTTATACGTGGGCGCAACTTAGGCAAGCTTTTGATACATTTATGAAGGTAACAACTAAATTGTTCATTATTTCTTTGAAAGGAATCCAACACATCCTATTGGGTTGATTCATGTAAGAAAAGATCCATCTGGTCCTATGGAATATAAGTTTGTGAGGTGTGAATGCACTTTTGGAGGTATAGTTCGGTAAGCTTGGAACACTTAAAAGACCAACCTTGCAACAATTCTCAGTAAAATCTAACCAACGCGTCAATAATGCCTTTTTACGGTAAATGAATATTTTATCTACTTGAAGTGAACCCAGTATGTACTGAAATAACCCTGGTCCTTCTTAAAAAGCTACTATATTTGTGTCTTGCCTACTCAGGAACATTCTGCCTCCCCTCCTCGTGTACGATAATTATAGGAAATTTTCCCTGGCAGTATACTTACTTTCGAGTACCAAATACAGCCGACTGTTTTTGGATGCTGCTCAGACAGATTTGAGTAATTTCTCTTTGCAATATGAGAATTGTTTTGGAAATGAACATATCCATTCTCCGAAAAATATAGTGGATGACGTCGAGCTGCATGGGATATTAGAAGGATTCAGTACATTTCTATTTGAATCCTATAATCGCAAGATCAGGCAGTCCGTGCATGGTGGATATGCTGTGGCTAAGCAGGCAGCTCAGCGTTATTTTGAGCACGTGTACTTAATGGAAAGTACAGGTGTCAAGCATGTATCTAAAGAAGCTAGTAATAAGGGTGTTACATTTAGCAAAGGAAAGTTAACTTATCTGAATACCATATTTACTTCTTGTTCTCCGGACCATGTAATCTTGGCCTCGTGTAAACCAGGGAATATAGTTGGAATGAAAGTGAAGGTAGGATACGCTTTCGACCTTACTGTGATTTTAGTGATGCTTTTACTACACCATTTAAATCAAGGAACTTAGGGATATTCAGATGGTCAAAATTCAGTCACGAAATACACTGAATATCCTATCCGAATATTGTTTGCAAGTGTTTGTGAGTTGACATATATAATTGTCATTTCTTGTAGACTGCTAAAATGGTTGCCTGCCTTCAGAGTGATCCGAAGTTATCACTTAAAGTCATGATGCACAATGTTCTCAAGCCTGAAGTGGGTTTGAAGTTCACATTCCAAGGACTTTTACAAAGTCCAGCATTGTGCCTTATGTCTTTTATAAAATAATGAGATGTAAGTTTCATTAATGAAGTAGTTATTTTTGTAGCTGTAATTATGGCGCAGTTCTTTGGCCAACTGATGACATCAAGAGAGGTTGGTGATATAATCGATAAGGCCACGAAATCGTACTTTCATAATTTGAAAAATCGTGTCCAAAGGAGTAACCTGAAGAAAGTAATTCAGGTGATATTGTTAAACGCCTGCTTCGTTTTATAAGTTAACGTTAAGTCAACATGTAGTAATCACAACATTGTTTTTATTTCCAGGCAAATGGAAAAGATACCAAGGGATATAACAGTGGCAGTTATGCAAGCAAACGTTTCTAAGTGTAAATACTGAGAATGTGATGAGCACAATTTTTCATGAACTAATATTTTATTTTGCTTATTTATGGGATGCTACCAGTGGACCTAACTTGACGGATTTGCAGTGACATTGTACTACAGTTTCCAAATAAAAAATCCTTTCAATTATAAAAACTGATTTTTCTCTGCAAATTAGATAAATTGCGGCAGCATAGGACACAGGTGATGATAATTAGTAGCAGTCTCTTCATTCTGTAGTAATGCTAGCCAGTGCTTAATATGTCCTGTGAGGGCTGGAAGAACACTGATAATCAAACCCAGTAGATTCTGATCTACTTAGAAAAAGAACACCGTGCTGAATTAGTGCCAATCATGCTGAAAACCAGAACTGAGTTCTAGTCTGTGCCATTAAAGAATCCATTTCAGAACAGATTCAGAATTTACTCACTCTAGAATGTTAGAATTATTTCAGAATTAGTGAGATTTAATTCAGCATTATTATAAGCTTGGGAAGGGCTGCAATAAGGCTGATAAGCCACTTCTGAAAATGCGTAGAAGAAGGGCGAGGTGCTGAATTAGTGCCAGTCATGCTGATAAACCAGCGAACAGCTCCAGTTTAAGCAAATAATTGTTCGATCAAACAATGGCAGAACAGTTAGGGAGTTTACTCACTAAAAATGTTACTATATGAGCACGGTATACGTGAATTGGATCAATGACTGCAGGTTTACCATAATGCTTAACTACCAACATAGTAACTGGGAACTTCAGGCTAAAATAAACTTCATAGTAGCATCCAGTGACGAAAATTGACCTACATGCTATAAAATAAGCAAAACGTCCAAAAAACCTTTAGATTTCAATGGAAAACGAATTCTCGAGCAGCAGACGCACCAACCTATCATGACCTTGAAACTGACTATAGCGTCTTTCGACGACTAGCCCCAATTCAAATCAACTAAGCCGCGCAAATGCCATCAAGGTAAAGCTTGAGGCGTCACTTCAAATAGGGGATATGCCATATAATCGCCAAATTAGCGTTGGGACACCTCTGTCTCTGTAATTTTACGCGCGACGACGGTCAGCATACGCATTTAAATAAGTACCTCATGTATCTGACGGTGAGGCTAAATCTTAGGGCAGTGTTTCCATAATAATTCGCTCATTAGATTTATCACGCAGTCCATCCGGTAAATGATACTGTTTCTCTGTGTGATATATCTGACGAACAAATTAATATGGAAATACGTACTAACACAGTGCCAGAGGTTTACGCATATATTAAAAGTAGTATTTACATTAGTTCTGATTCCTCCACTCGCGTGTTCGAGCACCTTCTTAGATGCCCTCTTCATCCCACCAGACCATAGTACTCAAATGATTGTGAATTTTTATGAAGAGACTCGTATTTTAGTCATGACAGTAGCCTTCGGAACTACAATGGCCCAGTTATCACGAACTCTGTCTGTTATCCTGATAATTATTTCACACTACAATTGTATTCTCCTGTGTAGTGATAAGCGAAGGTAAGGCTGTTGAGCCAAGAACTGTTTACACAATTGGTTAATCAACTACATCGCAACCGGCCTGTTGCCGTCTTTCCTCTGCTCTTGTTTTCTGTCGTTCCTTAGCTTTCTGAGTAGAACATAGAGCTTCGAAATTTGAACCTTCAGTATCACTGCTTTTACGGAGTGGTGTTGCTAGCCTCACGCCCAGTCTTTCCTCTCCGCCATGCGAAGTTTACAGTGCGTCGACCTGGAATCTAACCTGGTCCACGCTGTTGGTTTGCGAGTATTGTAACTTTGAATAACAGACTGTTATTCCTGCCCTAAGTAAATTCATACATATGTGAGATCATCACTAAACTACTTCAACTTCTTATGATGAGTTTAGTAATATTATTAGCGTGAGTGGCTTTAAACAGGTTGCGCACTCTACCTGGTGTTACCTATGCTGTGCATGCAGCATAAAAAGTCAGGTGCTTCCAAACCAGTAAACATCTCTGCCCCATGACGCCACTGACTCACTCTGACACGTTGAACATCACAAAATGATCCAATAGACAGTGACCTTTCTTATTCCCGAGCACTTCTTATCCCATATTTTACCTCACATTTAACATTTTCAGGACTTTGTTCCTTCACCGCGTAACCAGGTATATGGGCAGGGGAGATAAGTGTAGAAACGGCGTAGTAAGTTCTCCAGCCACAATAATAGCATTCATGTCGTATTAGTTGTGTAGTTGTTAACTAGAAAGCTCTTTTTTGTTGAACTGGTGAGGTTTCAATGTTCAGACTATCAGTTTTTCTTCAACTAACACTTTAGTGCTCATGAATGTCTAGACAATACTACATGTCACAATCTCAATGTACGTTAGGTTGATTATGGGCCTTAATTCACTTGCATTACCTTGTCGTTAATATTTACACAGGTCAGGCTTAACGCCACTGAATTTGCCAACGCTGTGGCAAAAAGAGTGAGTATATAAACTGGCAGTGTCCTAATGCTATCTCAGCATCATGCAACAATAAACCCAAGCTGCACACCAGTTGAAATCAATAGTGCACATAGTAACCAAGTGATTTCAGGTATAACATTCATCTTCATCAAAGTGTATATACGAGCGGTTTTTGTGGAAATATCTATCCTCACTGGATTCATTATATAACCAGCAGAGGGTAATCAGTTTGCGGAGGAGTTTTGAATCAGGTGTATTTATTTTTATTTATTATAGCTTGATTCCACACAATATTTCGTTACAAGTATGAGATTTTTAGCGTGTGATATCGGTAGCCCAAATTTAGCAGGCCGACCATAGATATCAGGTGTGCGTCGGCGGGGGATCGAACGCCGGACCGTGTGCATGGTCGGCGAGAGTCCTAACCGCTGTGTCACCGACGCACAGTGTCTTACTGACAAAAAGAATTTAGTTTGAGACATGTCAAAGGAATCGACATTCTTGGTGGCGCTACAATAGTAAAACTGCCTGTTTTGAGTAGTCTTTGGATTCTGTTACCGCAGGCGTTAATATTCAGCAATGAACAATGACAACGTCAAGTTTATGAGTATACCTCAAGGCAAACCAAATATTCCCGTCCCTGTATGTGCTAGAGAAGGTAAATAGCCCAAAATAAAAGGATAATCGAAGTGCCTGGAAAATAAAAGACACGTAACGAATCTTACTTTGAACCACCAGGCTACTGAATTTCGCAGCACATAGTATAGAAGTCATTCTTTATAAAACTCGCGAGACAAACACTACCAGTAAATATTGCTATTATCGCGTCATATTTTTTGTATTTAGTTTTATCATTCATTGCATGCGAAAATCTATAAATTCTTTGACAGTGTGTTTGTCGACCTTGATTGTTTGTAATCTTCAAACTTGTTGTATTCAATGTGAATGTAAGCCCCGCGTATTATAAATGCAAGATTTCCTGTCAGTTTGTAAGTTTGTGCTGCTTTCTGTGGCTACCAAATGATAAATATCTGTTATATCAGGATAAAAAGTTACGAAGTTTACCAGGGTGTTCTTCAATGTTTCGGTTTTTCACATTTACATCTAGATGGAGGAATTATTTAATTATATATTTTTAACATGTATAGATATATCCTAAATGAAAACATGCTTCTGCTTGAGGAATGTTTTCTCGGCCTAGAACTCCTTTTGCAATCACAGCTTAGTCTATTTTATCCTATGAACTTCTTAAATTTACGGAAAAGCGTTTTCACACTGAATGTTTCCCCAGAAAACTCCTAATATGTATTGAAAATAATATCTGGGACAGGGCAAAGAAACAAATATATTTCTTGTTTATGGTGTTAATTTTTTTCGACAGATATTATTATACATACTAGTCCGCTACAACATTTCTTCACGTACTGAATAAATTTCATCCTCTATAGAAAATTGAGAGGCATGCAAATGACATTTTTCAATTTAGCACATGATTTTAATGTAATAGGGGAACATCCTATCACTATCACTTATCTCAACCTATATTATCTACACTACAACCTATTATTATTATTATTATTCTACTTTTATGACTACACCGAATGACCAACGGGTGTTAGGTCAAACTCCATTCACGGCAGCAGCTGAGTCCTAACATACTGCACACTACAAACCACAATCTTGACCAATCCTCGCACCACTCCTCTTGGAGTCTACCAGAGCTAAAGCAGTCGAGTGGCGGGATTTACTACGCATAAGTTCACCGAAGATCTGGAACCTCTACCTTATAATCAAGAAGCGAGCTCAAAGAAATCACTGGTTTATACTAGCTAGTAATCAGGATATTGGATATTGGAAGAGAAATATATTTGTCTAAAATTTTTACATTTTGGAATTAATATTTTTCAAATGAGACACGTCTTTAATTCTCCAGAGAACTGAAAAAAATATTCAAAGATACCAAGTCATTCTGCTGAATGGCTGAAATATTTGAATGGATATGTTTAAATAAACACCGGTTTAACGAAGGAAGTTTCACTCCGCAGTCATGAATATTTTCTTATCGATGGGCTGCTGACTTCCGGGGACTATTTGTTATCTCATCATTTTTAGTAATAACTTTCTTATATTCTGAAGCCGGTCTTTTTGGAATACAGTTTGCAGTTTACAATTTATTTAGGATAGTAGGCTATATGCCTGTGTTAATCCTTTCGTTTGGTTACACACAGGAGGTCCAATCTCACCTTGAATGAATCAACGGATGGCGCTGATACGACGTGTTCCGGTAGGGAGTTCCAATGGTTCACAATCCGATGCGAAAAACGGATCTCCAAACGCAGACGATTCGACCGTGGTTTTTGAACCTTGAGGTGATGTCCTCGCAATTGGTTGGTGCTAGAAGGAAGAAATAAATTAGATAAATTTGCTCCAAAATCATTTCTTAGGATACGGTATGCTAGTATTAGGTCACCCCTAAGTCGTCTGTATGACAGTGGAAATAAACCCAGTCGACTTAACCTCTCTTCATATGAGAGGGTTGAGAAACCTTTTATTAGCTTAGTTCCTACTCTTTGCACTCTTTCTAATAAGTCTATTTCATATTTGAAGCACGGGCTCACTGCCTGGATCCCATATTCCAAATGAGGTTTGATATAAGTCGGATATAATATACGAAATATTTCAGCGTCAAAATTCGCAAAAGCTTTGCGTATGGCCCATAATATTCGAAAACCCTTAGTAGCTGCAGCTCTACAGTTTGTTGCTGTTTTCAAGTCATGCTGCACAACCACTCCCAAGTCCTTGTACTCAGTGACCACTGGGAGAGTAATGCCATTCATTGAGTAATTGTGCACGTGACTATGAGATACATGCATAACTACACTCTTGCTTAGGTTAATCTCGAAGGCCCAGTGCTTACACCAATCACTTAACAAGTTTAAATCTTCCTGCAAAGCAAGTTGATCACTGTCATCGTGTAAAGCCCTCCATATCTTGATGTCGTCAGCAAACAGTAAGCAGGATGACCTAACTACCGATGGAATATCATTAACATAAATCAGGAAAAGAAGTGGGCCTAGAATTGTACCCTGAGGAACGCCACTCTTAACCGATTCCCATGTTGATAAAACCCCGTTAACTCGTACTCTTTGTCTTCTGTCCTTTAGAAAGTCTTGAATCCAGTCGGTAACCACTTTATTGATTCCCATACTACCTAACTTTACTAGAAGACCTGAATGAGAAACTCTGTCAAACGCCTTGCTAAGGTCGATGAATATGGCATCCACTGGTATATTAGCATCAGCTGAGCTTGCCCAACTTTCTCTGGCTAAAAGAAGGTTGGTCAAGTAAGAATGACCTGCTCTAAAACCATGCTGTTCCACAGCGAAAAGTTTGTTCCCTTCAATGAACTGAATGATAGCATCACGAATTATTCTTTCTAGTAGTTTAACAACAATACTGGTCAAACTAACAGGACGATAGTTCTGAACTAAGTTTCTAGATCCGGTTTTGAAGACCGGACTAATGATGGCATCTTTCCAGTCTCTTGGACATTTAGACTGGTCCAGAGACATATTGAAGATTACCGACAATGGCTCGGCTATGTTTTCAGCCAATGCTGTTAATATACGTCGATGGAGTTCATCAGGGCCACTGAACTTACCAGGATTGAGCCTTAGAAGGTACTTTAGGACAGTATCCTTTCCAATGTATAAGGGTGCCATTTTCAAGTTGCCTTCTGGAAAAGTTACAAAGCTGGTATCAATATTATCAGAGAATACTTGGCTAAAGTGCTTGGACAAAGCCTCAGCCTTAGTCAAGTTATCCTCAGCCATGTTTGTCTGGTCATCTTCAAGCATAAGAGGTGGGATAGCATCACTCTTACGTGTTCTTCTCTTGATATATGAGAAGAGTCTTTTTGGGCAGCCTGGTGAACTTTTAACTAACTGGGTTTCGTAAGCTATCCTTGACTGGTGAATCAAAGTTTTACACTGGTTTCTGGTTTCACAGTATTTCAGCCGGAACTGCTGTAGCCCAGTAGAAACAAAGAGATTCTAGAACCTTTTTCTCCGTCTTAGGAGTGTTATAGCTTGTCTATTTATCCATGGTGGCCGATTTGTTGGTCTTTTAGGAACCCTCCAGGGAATGAAATCAGTGGTAGCCCTCTCAAGTGTATTCTTAAATCTATCCCATTCATCTTCAATGGATGAGACAATATTGACTGACCAGTCGGCAGTTGAAGCACGCTCCTTTATAGAGACTATGTCAGCATGCCAAACACTAGGTCGGGATTTAGGTTGAAAACTGACTAAATTGCCAACCCTTAAGTTAAAATCTAACACCCCATGATCACTGTTTGCTAGAGGTGGATGAATAACTAGACCATCCACGTCGTCGTTGTCATGAGTAAGCACTAAGTCCAGCAAGGAAGATCCTTGGGTAGAACCGAATCTTGTACCACTTAAGACATGTTGTGTCAGGGCATTTTCCATGGTAGTCAAGAGTAACCGGCTGTCAAACTTATTAGCGGATCCTGGATATGTGACAGCTACCCAGCCCATATGAGGTGCATCAAAATCACCTAGAATAAGACAGCTACTGTGTTTACTCCATTGTTTGAGGTGATCTAAAATGCATTAAAAGGTGCGACCACTTCGCAATATCATCTTCTTCGATGAGTTACTGCCCCCCCGCCTTCCGACCTTCTGCAGCCTACTTTTTAATGAAATTGTGTGTAGGTTTTCATTCTTTTTGAAGACAGTTAATGGTAGGTGTTTTTCTTGAATTCTCTTCAACATCAGAGTGCTACAGCGTATGTTTGAACTCTTTTATATTAGAAATACAATGATGGAAACCTTTGTCGATATTAGCAAATGACTATTTGTAGAATTCCTTCGCATTCATTGGCTAGGTGCGCACATAGGAAGTGATTCAATTTTCGATACACTTGTGGTTTTAAATGATGTTGACTTTTCAAAACAAAACAAAACAGCAAAACGACATTTAAAGCATTTAATTTTACGTTATTTTATTTGTCTTGTTTATTCGTTATATTATGATTTTTATGTTTAACACTTCATAAATGGCTGCATTGTGTTTTTTGTATAGTAAGTACCCTTGACTACAGTTTATGTGTTGATAATTATTTTTTTTTCGGAAAAACGCAGTTTAAAGAAAAAAACCTTTTTGTGACTTTATATATACGCACATGCGCTAGTTTTCTATGTTTGCATGGGGTGTTTTCTCATTGAATTTTTAGATTTCATCGTCACTGCTTTGCGTTTTTCAACCATATCTACCCTACAACTGATGTCACTCTGTTTGCAAACAGAGAGAGAGAGACCGAAAGGGAACTTTGCATTTTCACTGTAGATTGTTTAACGCGAATGTGAATGCAAGAAAGCCTAAATAAAAAGAATTTCAAAGTTAATTTGATTAGAAGTCGTTGAAAAGAAAAAACAAGGCTAAAAAAGTAATAAAAATGCTGCATTTCTGATATTAGATAGTTGGTGGCAGTCGGCCACAGGAAGCCTCACCTGACCTAGGTTTCTTGCTAGTTGGCACTTGCCAGTCAGTCAGCAAGGTTTATCTGCAACTGCCTTGAATGAACTCATGTTCCCCTGTCTGAGATTCGAACCCGCGGCGTCACCCAGTGCTGCAGTCAGTCAGAGACGTTACCACTGAGCTATTCGGGCTCACAATTGACCTCTTGTATGACTGTAGTGGGTATTTTGATTTGACACTAGTAACTAGTGTGACGTGTCTAGTTCTTTCTTTGGTTCAGACTGAATTCTATCAGTCAGATGGCGAGCTACCTAGACACAAGTCACACTAGTTACTAGTGTCCAATCAAAAATGCTGTATATGATAACACCGAGATGGAAACAAGCTATACAGGCATTTGTGACATTGTTTTGTTGATTCTAAAAGGTGTCTTGTAATGTCAAACTATCAAGTTTGATATTATTCCGATTCGGTATACACAAATCTT